GCCCCTGACACTGATTTATCCCCCAGCTGCTCTTATGCTGTTGAGTTCCCAGTGCTCATGCACCAACTCCTGAGAAACAGGCTTTAATTCAGGAGCTGTGGGTGCATCCACACCAGCCTCAGGGTGCCTTGTCATCTCTGCCTTGTTGTGTTGGTTGTCTAGGCGGAAAATCAGATTTCACCTCTTCTCTGATTTGTTAAGTGGAAGAGAACTTCCCAGGTGGATGTGATGGTGTGTGAGGCTCCAGGAACACTTGGCTAATCCACTGTAATTTATACCATCTGGCTATTGTCTCCAGTACAGGGAGGGGGTAGGCTACCCATGTACCCCCTGTGGCTATGGGCAGCCCCAGCTCTGCCTTCTGTCATGGGTCTCTCTAGGGGGCTGAGGGTCTGCCTAACCCCTGCTCCAACCCATAGGATCTGCTGGAGGGATGTGGATGTGGCTATCCCATGCTATGGGAGCCATCAGCAATCTCCCTCCAGGTGCCTGTGCTGACTGTGCCATGCAGGGTGGTCCCAGGGAGCAGTGTGTACCCCTCTTGGCTCAGGTTCTGCCCAGGAAAGAGGCTAAGGCTTTGCAAGGACCTCCACCCTGGATGTGTGGATGGGGGACTCCTGCATTGTACATTTGCTGGGGATTTGAGAATGGGATTTGGGTCATCCCTGAATGCATCCTGGCTTTATTTTAATTAGACTTGTGGCTTCCTGAACCTAGGTGGTGAGGACCAGCAGCATGTTGCCCCAGACCCATCTGCCTGTGCCTGGGCACATGGGATGCTCCTGGGGGGTTCCGTGAGGAGTGGGACATGGTATGCCATGCTGCCTTGCAGGCTGGGGTGTGGTTCTTCCGGACAGTGATGCCAACAGCTGTGATGGGTTGTGGACTGTGGGTGCCCCTGCCCCACTCCACTCCCCTGGCAGGACCTTGGGTGTGGATGGTGTGGGGGGTGATGGATGGCTGGAGAAGCCGGGACTGGCAGGTGGCTATGGTGGCTCAGCTGCTGCAGGCACAGGTGCTCCTGCCCTCCCCTCCCTCCTTCTCCAGTGGCTTGCCAAGAATTTTTTTCCCGCTTGCCCAGGGCTGACATCACCCCTTTATTGCTCCTTGCTCCAAATGTGTGCAGCATGTGGGAGGTGTTGGCCGCAGGGCCTTGACCTGCCCACGTAGGGTGTTATGCTGGGTGTTTCATCCTGCCTGGACCTGCCCTGTGCAGGGACCCTGTCCCTGAGTCCCTTTTGGGGACCACCATCCCCACTTGGTGCCACTTTGCCTTGGGATTTCTCATCTACAATGTGCCCATGGTGCTCCCAGAATGGAGCCAAGATGAACATCCCAAACAGCCAAGCTGGGACCAGTTCTTGCTCAGGTGCCCAGCAGAGCCTCCCTGCAGTGCGGCCTGGCTCAATCCAATCCTATGCCTGGAGAAGCTGGACCCAAGGCATCAGTGAATCCTGTTGGGGCCAGAAGGTCATGTTTAGCTTGGCATTCTAGGCAGGATTTGAGCTTGAGCCTATGGAAATAAGCATCTGAGTGTGTTAATCCATTTGGCCTTGGCACCCCAGCTCCCCACTGGTAGATGATGTCCTTGGGCCCAGCACTGTCCCAGGGCTGGGAGGCTGGTGATAGTGGTGACAGCTCTGTCTTGGCAAGACATCTCAGGGTGGTGGGACACATATTAAGATGCAGTTTGCAGGTCTACAACTCAGGGATGAGGATGCATGGCTCACAACTTAGTGATGACAATACACAGCTCATGGCTTAGGGCTGAGGATGCACAGTTTGCTGCTCAGGGATGAGAACTCACAGCTTGGGAGGAGAAACCCAAGTTGTACCTGCATCGTACCAGGGTGAGCACTGCAGACCTGTGCCACCAGCCCACCATCACCTACTGTGCTGACAGTGGGCACAGGGGCAGGGAGTGGCTGTGGTTTGGCAGCTCCCAGGCCGTAGCCAGGTTATCTCAGTCCTGCTCAGCAAACCGTGGCGTTGATTTTGAGCATGTGTCTGTGCATGGTGGCCTTAGTGCTAGCTGCAGGAACAGGGTGAATACCTGAGACAGCAAAATGTCAGCACTGTGCCGTGCCTGACTCACCTGAAAGAAATGTGTCCACACCAAACCGGGACTGCGGCTTCAGCCGGCTCCTGGCAGCGAGGAAGCGTGAGCGGTGCAGGCTGGCTGGGAGCTGCCAGGCTGGCACAGCTCGGCCCCGGCGGTGGCTCTGCTGTCACTGGAAAAGGGCATCTCTAGGCAGTGGGCCCACGATGCTGTGGGGTTGGTCCTCTTTGCTTTCCCTGAGTGGGTGGGAGGGCACACCATGGCGATGCTGGAGGCCAAACCTTTCTGCTTGCTCAAGCCAGGGCTTGTCATGCCAAAATCCCAGTGGAGGCTGGTGTATCCCACTCTTGGAGGTGCCGCTGCAGTATCTGGAGCTTCTGCAAAGTCCTCAGGAATTGCTGCTGACCCGCTGCTCTGACAAAATGCTGGCCAGCCCCTGGTGCGGGAGTTTGCCCCAGTTTGCAAAGCCTGCAGAGCACTGCTGGATTTTGCAACCTGGACTCAGGCTCTGCTCCTGCTGCAGCAGAAGCCTCTGTCTGCTGGCCCAGGGCCTATGGGGATGCAATGGGGGGCTTCAAGGCGCCTGCCCTCCTCTGCTGTGCTCCATATGCTGTGCTTCTCCTGTGCTCGGTCTGACCGTGTCCCTCCCGCCGACACAACTGCAAAACCGGTTGGCAAGCTGGGAGCTGGAGCGGAGG